TATCTGACATTAAAGAAGGTTTTACATTTAATGTCAGATTATCGAGTCACGACTGTAGATTGTAGGGCTGGAGTGTCCTGGCTGACCGGTCAGTTGGTCAGTCTGCTCATCAGAACACATTCTCTTTAGTTGAACAGTTTCTGTTGTTACTCTCATAGACATAAAAGCAATACATAAGTAGACCTCTAGGATTAATCCATTATTTTACTGGTGCCGGTAAAACAGACGACGCGTCATCACTTTGGCTTTTTCACAGCCCAAGCTAATGGAGGTCTAACTTACTTCACGTTTACTTGGAGTTGGCTCCAAACTAACCGACATCATGTCAAAGAAGTCGTCAGTGTGTCTGCATTTTGTGTAGCAGTACTTTGTGTATCACAGCACAACAACCAACAAGGCAGATCATCTGACAACAGCAGCCTAACTGGCCTTCGTTATACTCCTGAATAGTTCTTTAGCTGAGATCACCAGCTGATGCAGTTCTTTTTTCAGAACTCATACAAATATTGACAGGTGCTAATCCGGCTCAAATGATTTAATATTCTACAAATACTCGCTTTTCATGTTGATTTAATTTTTGCAGATTGTTGTTTCTCTGAGACCAGTTGGTAGGTTAAGGAGGAGGTACGATTTAGGATTTTCTTTGCTTCACTCCAGTCTTAATGTGTTTTGTTCTGCTAAAGCTCTTCCCATGTGTCCAGTAGATCGTTGGTTTTAGAGCCTAAATAAATGAATATGTGTACTTTTGTTCCCAGATATATTGGAGGACATGAAAGAGGAGTGCCAGAAGTACGGCTCAGTGGTTTCTCTGCTCATCCCCAAGGAGAACCCGGGGAAAGGACAGGTAACACTCCTGTTCTACTTACAGGTGCTTTGTTGAGGTTTCCTCTATTTACCATCAGTGTTTCTCACCAGGACAGTGTCAGATGTGTTGAGAACCTTCCCGTCCTCATAAAACATGAGCTGTATGTTCTTAAAACCTGAACATCTACGGGCCCATCCCATCGTCTGACAGCACACCCAATAGTTAACCTACATTTTCCCCTAATGCCGAGTTAAGCGTATCTCACAGCTCACAGCGGTCCAGATGGTGCGTATATTTAACCGCAGTCCAAAGGTGTTGGACTGGTTTCGGATCTGCTCGATGTTAACACTGGACTGTTGGACCTCACAACGTCGAAATGCGTCTATTTGACTTAACAGTAATATGTAATAATGTACAACAAGAATGGAAAGACACGGGGAGGCAGCTTTTCTGTGTGTTAAGTACGATTTTAACGCACTAAAATGTTAGAAAAAAGCTTAAAAATCAATATTAATATCAGCTTTAAAAGGCTCAGCATCTGAAACTCCTCCAGTGACATCAGAGCTGTGATTAAGGTCGTCCCACTAATTCCTCATTTCACGTGTAACCCTCAGGTGTTCGTGGAGTATGCCAACTCCAGCGACTCCAAAGAAGCCCAGAGGCTGCTGACGGGCCGCACCTTTGACGGGAAGTTCGTGGTGGCCACCTTCTACCCTCTGAGCGCTTACAAAAGAGGCTACCTGTACCAGACCGTACAGTAAAGTCCTACAGCTCAATTTACACCTCTGCATTGTTTGCATGATTAAAAACACAACTGCGACGGGTGCCGAAACGGGGAGGAGTCATCTCCCCGTGAAAATACAGTCATGAGCGGCTACCCTGCAGTTTCAGTTATCAGTGAGTGTAGTTCAAAGTTCTGCATGTGTTTCATGTGGTTTTCTACAGTACATCTGTGTTTTCATGCAGAGTGTAAATTGAACTGGGCCGTGAGGAGCTTCCACCTCCGGCCCGTGCGCTGCTCTTATCAGTGCACATCCATCCAGTGCTTCAAGGTCTCTTTCGCTGACTGGACCCGGCCGTCTGGGGACAGCGGCTCCCGTTCGAGCTTCCATTCGCTCTCACGCTGTCGTGGAGTCTCTCGCAAGGGTCGAAAACCTTTATCGGGCGACGGCGAACAGTTTGAGAGCTTTTCGTTGCATTTAGCGGCCTCTCCGTCGGTGATTATTAGTCAAACACTTTATCTCATCAGTTGTGTCAGGGATGTGATTACAAACATGTAGCAGGCTGATGTGAACACAGAATCCTAACGACTAAAATGTAGTGACGGTCACATCCCTGTGAACTGAAGGTTTCCTGTGGTGAAAACTAGTGTCTTATGATATTGTTGAACTAATAATACTTATCAGTTTATTATTGTTGCCTATTTATATTGATTTAGCATTTAGAGGAAGTGGCATGGTACCAGGGGATCCCACGTGTCCTCTGCTGGCTCCTCTGGCTCCTCGTTTTCAGGGAGAAAGGGTTTGGCAGGTAGTCTTCACTCATATCTGAGCAAGCCGAGGGCTCCCAGCGCCCTGTCCTGTAGCCTTATGCTTTGTAGCCTTTTTTCTTTTACCAGTCCGAGTGCTCAGAGAGTAATTTTGACTATGCTTTGATTCACAAAGACGTGCAGCAAGCTTTATGTTTTCACTACAATGGCACATGAACAAGTACAAACTTATGAGTGTACGCTGAAAGTGATCAGAGATTCATTAAAGAACAAGCAAATTAACAAGATTTAGATCATCAAGAACTTTTCTCCAGTCGGAAAATGACTCTACGAACAAAAATAGCTCCAGCAGAGGTAGGAAACGTCCAACTGAAGCCAAGTGTGTGTTCAGTTTACGTAGAACTAAAGCAGCGTGTAAAGCCGTTAGGTGCATGACATGTGTAGCATCTTCCACATTTTCTGAAGAAATCCACTTTTGGTTGTTGAAAAAATGTGCTTGCTTTAAACTGGTGACGTCTACGTGCTTTCAAACATGTGGTGGCTTTAAGGGCTGCGGATGAAAGGTGACGTGAGATTCTTTATTGCACGATCTTCTGTTGGGCGATCTTCAAGTGCTTGTGGCTAGTTTGTGCGTGAACCAGTGGACTGATGGGTAGACTGTCAGCCCGGCAGTGCAGCACTACTGTCCTGTGGTTCATACCTCCACCGAGGCGCCTGTGATTGGAAGTGTTTCAGCCTCCTCCCAGTTTTAAGAAACGCTGCTGGTCGCACGACGAGATCAGAAATGTCATAAAAGGTGTGACATGAATATATCTTGACGCCAGCAAACTGTCATTTCATCCCTTTTACTACGTTGGTTCCATCAGGGCAGATTGTTTTGCAACAAACGTGCTGTTTTTGTGGTGGAATGTACTTTATGTTGTCGAACCAGCAATTACTTTATTCTCTTGTTTTTTTTTTTTTAATTCTCTCAGTTACACTCTATGACAACAGTGGAAAGCCTGCTCTGAAGCTTCAGATAAGTTCTACACAAGTGCCCTACGATGCTCACAAGCTAGCTAACTAACCAAAATGCTGCTATAACAACAGGATGCGCTGTTGTTTCCTTACGTAGCCGAAGCCGTTGCAGATGCCTTAGAAAACGCCTCCCTTCCAGCAGATTTAGCAAAACCGGACAGACATTGCAGTCTATCTCAGTTTCCCTTCATAAACCTGCTCATTTTTCAGTATAATCTTGTTAAAGAGTCCATATTCTGCACATCCGCAACTTAAAATGTAATTTTGGCATCTTCTAAAATATGTTTACATGCTTACATGTTTTAAAACGCATTATTTTCTCTGTACATTGCTGAAGCACATCCTCTCGTCTTCCGTCTAAAACGCTCCATTTTAGCTTCTGTCTCTTTAAGGTGCCTCTCCTGAAAAGCCCAGTCTGCTCCCGTTGGTCAACTGGCACGACAAACACAAGATAACGTTCAAGTTTTGCATTTGAAAAATTTAATGGAAATTGGAAAAAGCTTCCCCAATTTTTCCAGAAAAATTTTTACACTTGCTTGAGGATTGAGATTTTTGACATTTTTTAAACAATTTGTTTTGTTTGTTTCTAGTTCTTTAAGGGTTTTTTTTTAGCAGGTGGCAAACAACTTGTTTGTTTCCTTCCTCCACTCTATTTATATTTATTACAGTCATGTAGGATATTGTGCCAACTTCTGACGACACGACACAGTTTATTCACTCCAAAGTGGCTGATGGAAAGAAGCCCAATTAACATCTTCCATATTTGTTCGCAGTAAAGTTGCTGGACAGTTTCACGGAAACATGTCTGATGAGTGTAAAAGAAGTCTAGCAGAGGTGGTCTCCAGTAAGGAAATGATGGCGGACTGTGAATCGGCTGCTCGCAGACCAGCAGCCAGGCGGGCGTTATGCTAATGCGTTACACGGTGACATAGATAGGTAGCAGAAATAAAGCCTGGACTTCAAACGAGGCATTCCAGGCAGGTAAGGAGCTGTTTTCTGTGGAAGAGAATCACTCACTTTGGCGTGGACTTTGCAGACGTTTTGCATGCACAAGAAAGAAGAACTGACGAGAGAAACCAAAAACAGCACAATATGGGCTCTTTAAAGGCTAAATAGCTTCTACTGAGTGTTGAGTAGTCCTGAGGTAAAGGTAGCTAACAGTCAGTAATCATCATAGAGCCATAGGCGACACACTGCTGGCAAAAAAGCAGCCCGGTTCTGATTATTTGGAGCATTTTTTTTAGTAATTTGCTTCCGTAACATTTAGCGTTTCAGACTCGTGGAAAGAAAACATCAACACACACATTTAGGTGTTTGTTATCGTGCATAACTTTAAAGGCAGATTCCTCTAAAGAGTGTTTTTCTGCTGCTCTGAGCCAGAACCCTCCACTTCATACACCAAGCTTTGTTTTATATTCTGAAGGTTGTTACAGAGGGGTGACAGAATACCATTCACAGTCTCATTTATAGAAGATGTAATTGACAAACACGTGCCGAAAATAGATGATAAAAAGAAGATTCCCTCCAGTAGAAGCCTTTTGTACGTCAGCAGAGTGAAGCAGATGTTTTGCAGCGTCTCATTTGTAAACAGAAGAATATTTCTTCTGTAAAAGTTGCTGCTTTATGGTTCAGACGTGTGTGAGGAGTTGTAGCTGCAAAGCACCAACACGGAGCGCTGCTCGGCTTCAATGGGATTCAAGTGTGTGAGAATAATCGCACATTGATATAAATAGATATAAATCAGCCCTTAATTAAATGATGCACTGCTTCCTCCTGTGCTAAAAAAGAAATCACTTGAATTATACTAAAATTATGAAAACCTAGAGTCAGAGGAAAAACGTGCAAGACTCTACAAAAGAATATTTATTTTTCTACGAGCTCTATTTCTATGTGCCTGAAATGTGAATTCCAAAGCATCCACTCGAGTGCGTCACTGGCCTAAAAAAATCTAGATTTAAAACTTGACTTGGACTCCGACCACTAAACCGTAGAGCGGTTTGGACTTCTGTGGGATGTTGAGCAGGTTCCTCAGATAGTAACACGAGCCTCAGATCTAAAGTTTGTCCAGTAGTTTGACGTTTGTCTTCTATTCTCATGTATGACCTTTGTAGCTCCCATCTGCAGATGTTTCATGTCATTTCTGTAGTTTTCTGTATCACTGCTGCCCAGCACAAAATATATTAATGGAGCTTAAATTGTGTGGCCTACAAAGCACTCTAAGGAGAGTTTGAGCAAAGCTGCTGTGTTCAGTGATGCAGGACAAAATGTCTGTGTGCAAATTGTGCTTTTTCCATTGTGTGGACGTGAATCATTAGGAGGGCTGTGTTAGAGTCTGAGCATTAATATGTCTGAAAATGACTTGTTGTGAGGCTGAGGAAGCCTGCAGGTGTCACTGACACCTCAGTGGTTGTGATCCAGTTATTGGACTTTATCATTCTGAACAGACTCTTTGCTTCATTCAAATTCCAAAACGCTCCATTTTTTTAAATTTACGTTTGTCAACCAGATGCAAAGGAAGATGAAATAATACAAAAGTGTGAACTAAATCCAGTCAACGTCAGAATAAAAGTTCTGCTGAATGAATTAACCTTTAACTGGATGTTTCATGTTCCGCTTTTGGGTTTGTTTTTAAGTTTGGAGATGCAGGGTCAGTTAGAGCCCCGTTTTTTGCTTTAGATTTTCTTTTTTGGGACGTGCCTTTAATATTAGATAGATCACAGATAAATGGGCTTTTTCCTCCACAGAAACTTGCCAACATGTAAACGAACTTGCATGTCAGACTCTGGTTTTATTTCCACCGTCCTCCACCTGCTTGTTGGTGCTTACAAAGGGACGAAGTGGGTGGTCGTAAGGCTAGCGTCTTGGTTCAAGCGATATGTGGTCACATCCTGATGCTCCATATGTATGTGATCAAGAAAGAAGTGATGGAACTTCTCATCTCCGTTCCCAACAGGTTGTGTTGTTATCAAGTTCGTTTCATTCTCCACTTGTAGTTTTGTCTTACGGCAAACTCACTGAATCCACTGTGACGTTATGTTTCCTGTCCACCTCCCCCGACGCCTCTACAGCATATGAAGTAGAGCTTTGGTCGTTGTGAAGGTTGTCTCAGTTCAGTCTTAGAGAGGTCCTCAGTGTGGGACGACGTCAGCGGTCCAAGTGGTCTCAGGTTTTTAGCTGCATGTGGGGGTCTGCAGACGCCATTATGGACACGGACAGATGAACTATTGACCAAGAACTGGCTTAAAATGGACATAGGCAGTTTTGTGGGACACCGTTGAGTAAAGCGTCCGTACCAACATCTCTACATATTGTAATTCAAGAGAGGAGGCCAGATTTCTGCACCCCTCTTTGGCTCCATTATCAGGCGTCGTGGGAGACTTGAGCCAATAACTAAACCGATCAGGTGCGACTCAGTGGTGTCAACACACTGCAGTGAGAGTTCGACGAGGTCCGAGTCCTGCTGGATGATCTCAGCAGCATCTTGTAGTTCATGATGCTGTGTTTTGTTTCATGTAGAGTTTGCAAGTCTGAGATTAGAGAGAAGAAGATCTGTGAAGTTTCTTCTTGTGTGCGTGATGCAACCTGATCTCAAAGTCTGTCCACATTTAAAACTGCTGTAACGAGAGCCTAACGTAACGTATAAGCACCAAAACCACAACCAGTAATTAAAAAGAGAAGCACAGAGGCAACGTGAAGGGACTGGAAGAAAGAGATCCAAACTGATGTTTAAACTGAAAACTTTCTGACCATCCACGCTGTTAAATGCACTTTAGCATGAACAGGTTCTGCTTCCTGCACACGACTCTGCTAACGGTGAGCATTACTGTCAGCAGGCTGTGTGTGGAGCTACTGGGAGTAGTTTATGGCTGCACCTCACAATTATCTGAATGAGTCAAAAGCCTGATTAATGGGTGCATATTTATTCCCTGCAGGTCTGAGTACGACGCTGCTCTTATGTTCAGTTTTGGCACTAAAAGCGTCGGTGGTCGGAGAGAGAAGCCACAGAGCTGTGGAACAGTAAGTCGTGGCCGCGTTTCAGGATTCGATTTGAATATGTATCCACGCTGCAGCTCACCAGAGTTTTATCTTGTCAAGGTGTTTGCTGCATGCTGGTCCTGGTGAGGACGTGCAGAAGCAGCCGGGTTTGGGTTTGTTTACACGACTATTATACGTTTTGTTCATCCTATGTTTAGATTTTTTTATATATATATATATAGTATGACAGTAGTGTTTCTCTCTCGGTGTATAGAGCACAATGTTTAATGAACTGTGTTAGGCAGGTGACAACGAAACCTGCCTCAGTCTACATTTCATTGATATTTATGCAACACCCCACTAATGTGATATTAATGGACTATTTTATTATTACAGTGACACTTATTATTACTCACTACTATAGTTAAGAGCACACAGCATATCGTAGTGTGGACAGAAAGTCAGTCGACATCGTTTAGGTTCTCTCCAGCGTCACAATAATCCAACATGAGTCCTTTGCAAACAGGATCTGGTTTTGTTTAATTATTTTAATGGTACCGGTCTGACAATCAGAGTTAGAAAACCCCTCAGATAAAACAAACAAATGTGTGAATCTCTCAACTCTCAGAAGCTGGAACCAGAACATATTGGTATTGTTCTTGATAGGTTACGGAAACAGGTGATGAGGATAAACTTTATGACGATTCAGTTCTTGGACTGATTGATCCATACGAGGAAAACATTAGCACACGTGTATCCACTACTGATGATGTTAACTAGTGCACTATATGCTAAACGGATCCCCGGTCCTAGAAGGTGTAAACCCTGTAGTCCTGCAGGCACATTGTTGTTGCAGAGCTTCACCTGTGTGGCATCAAACAGCCGCTGGAGTTCTGAAAGTGTTGTTCAGCAGAGACAGAATCCTAAACGGTGTGACGCTTGTGTTGTGATGACGGCGACTTTCTTCCTGAGTTTCTAAGATGTCTCGTCTTTAAGTCAAACACACGACCGGCCGAGGCCTCTGAGGGTGGATGCAGGAACTTTGCTGCTCTATTCGTCTGCGTACTTGCCTCCTTCTCTTCCTGCCAGGCCCTGGACTTCATCCTTATTCCTGTCTCTGATTCAAACAAGACTCTTTGGTACTCTGACATCTTTTTAAATTATACTACATGAGATTTCTTTCCCGAGTCGGGTTTAAAGGAGAATTCAGGTTTATTGAAGCTGGCGTGTTTCCCATTAATACGGCTGTTGTGGAGCCGTTAGCTTTGTTTTCAGTCTGACCAAAGTTAAACAGAAATCTTCTGCTTGGAATGAGCATGTTGCCGAGCATCCAGTCCAGCTGCCCTTGGTCTTACTTTCCAGTTGATGTCGTGGAGGTGAAACATCATCTGCTGTAGTTCTACAGCTGGGCTTCCTCTCAGAGTCAGAGTCTGCCATCAGCACTGTTTGCAGCTGCAGTGTTCCTCCTCGGTCAGCAGCAGAGCAGTGAGCGCCGGAAAACCACCGGTTTCCTGGCTTCAGGGAGCTCCTGCTAGCCGCTCGGCTACACACCGCTCACAAGCTGCCGGCAGAGGGTTCTCGGAGGAAGCGTTTGGATTGTTTATGTGAGATAAGATGTGTAACGTTGTGTGTTTTGCACCTTGAGTCTGTATGTGTGTGTGTGGCGTTCTAGCTGAAGTCCTTTGTACCTGTTTGCTTGCAAAAATCATTTTAAAATCACAAAGACAGGCGTTAGAGTCAGTTCGGAGCGAACCGTCTGTCCGCAGAATCACATCCTATCTACAGAAGCACATCATTTAAAGATGATCTAGAAATTCTTTACAGCACAGCAGATAAAAGCTGAGTCGTCCATAAATAGTCAGATATTATTCAGCTGCTTCGTTGTGCTCAGCAGAGAGCGACACCGATGTTGAGTTTTTATTATTTTACGTAGCATCAGGTGAATAAAACAGTCACTACGTCGGTGGATCCGTCTGCTCATGTCCACCTGACCTGATGTTACACTTAACCTTCTGAACTCTGAGCAGTTTCTGGGTGTTTTGTTTTCTTTTTTTCACTATAATATAAAGTCCTGTATGGAAACAGCACAACAACAGCTAGATGTAGAGACTTCAGTTCTGTACATTACACATGGTTCGATCCAGGATCCTCACAAAGACGATTCCTTCTCTTTTCACAGTTCCTGGATCTAGTAAATGGCATCATTTTTGCAGTTTCTTTTACACATACGATGACTTTCAAACCAATCTGTGGGTTTTGGGGTTCGATAGTTAATGTGATGCAGAAGTGTTTGTTGGTGGTGTAAAGATGGTGACTAATAGATGTCTATTATCTATGTGAGTATGTTTTTTTTTGGTTGTTATCATTTAAAGCTGCAATAATTTCTTTGAATTTGTGAGCCAGAAAATCAAAACAATGAATTTAAATCAGCTAAAAGCTTGTATGAACCTGAGAGGACTGCAGTGATGCTTCTCTGCAGCTTCTGGTGACGTCGTTACTCGTCATCATTGGATCCACTGGTGATGTAAAAGTCTTGATTAGTGCAGCTTTAAATAAAAACAGGACAAACAGCCCCAACCTGTTTATGTTCCAACGATAAGTACATTCATGTCTGACCTACTACTGTCAAGTTTGGGAATCAATACCAAGCAGCACAAGCTCTGAGAGCCGACAAACACCAAATCCTGAAGGAGCTATCAGCCGACCGAAACCAAATGATTTGGGGGAAGGGAGAACTTGCACAGTTCCGAGCATTTTGAGTCTGACAACTCCAAACTGTCATGTCTTCGATGAGATCATTTCAAATGTCAAGAGACAATCCTTAAGACGTATGTTTTATTTGTTGGAGTCTTCCTTTGGTTTTGTTTGAACCAGTTTGGTTGAGACGCAGTTTGATGAATGTTGAGTTCGACACCAGATCGTGTTCCAGAGAGCGGCGGGATGTTTGAAGAAGTGGGAGGACTGATGAAGTGTGTTATGTTCTGACCCAGCGGTCCTGCTCGTGGAACGTCCTGCAGGTCAAACCGGACTGAAAGCAAATGATTGTTACTTTTATTTTTAAAAAGGAAGCACAATGTGAGAAGGTCGCTGTATGCAAGAAACACGCAACACGTATGAAGCTGTGTGAGTTGATCCGTGCTTTACAGCCTTCAGCTGAGAGTGAGTCACTCGTGCTGTTGTGTTTGAGTATCTCCTAATAAAAATGATGCTTGACTTGAAATGCTGTTTGTCGGCTGTTTTTTGGAACACAGGAAGTGTCTGATCAATGAATGTAATCCATCCATCCATTATCGATACACCGCTTGATCCTCACTGGGGTCGCTGGAGCCTATAATGAATGTAATGATGGACAGAATAATATGGACGCGTCACATATAGAAAACATATTCTCATCTCTTCTTCTTGAGTTCTGCAAAATGTGTCATGTTTCCTGTGTTGAACCACAAGAACTACTTTCTGTGTCCTGTTTAGAACTCATCTAACCTTTGGAGTTTATGTCAGGAACCTTGTTTTTTTTGAGAAAATAATTGGGAAAACAATCTTCAATCATCAAAAAGTGACTTAACTTGTAGTTCTGATTACAGTTTGTACGAGGTTCCATCAAAACGTTCAGAGACTGTGCCTATAAATAGCACAAACCCTGATGGCTTTCCTTTTGGTTGCCATCCCTGTCAGTCGTCTCTGTGTGCAGAGATACACTGCGCCGCTATTTGGGATTTTCATTAGTATTCAGGTGTAATCATCAAAATTAAGAGAAATAAGCATTTGAAATAAATCAGTCTGTGTGTAATGAATGAATATGAGACACAAGTTTCACTTTTTGAATGGAATTACTAAAATAAATAAACTTTTTTATGATATTCTAATTATATGACCAACACCTGCACTGATATTTATTAAACAGTGCATCTGTTCTTGAATTCATCCACATCAATAATGTGGAGTGGGGCGCCGCTCAGTGGCAGCTGTTGGAACTACACACTGAATTTCTCTCAGCTGTAACAAACCCTCTCAACAACCTATAGAGTCTGCACCTTTATGGAACCACGGATAGAGGACTCAAGAAATTATTTTGTGCACTACAGCAAAGCTGTAATACCATAAATCCTAGAACAAGAAAGAGTCTGAATCTTTCACACTGATTTAGTCAGTATACCTGTATCACTGTAAACTTCTCGCCCTCTGCTGAGGAAGACGGTCGAATGCAAGAAACAAATGATTTGAAGACAAATCCTGTCAGAGATTTTATTTCTAACAAAGTCAGATTACACAACAACCCAATGAATTTGTTGTAGAGATCCGTTGACGTCATGTGTCCTCTGTTCTGCTGAGTCGGCTTCAAATCCAGCCTTTCCTTTCATTGCCCGTCACTGGGTAGAGAGAAGAGACGGTAAGTCTTTGTTCAGGTGCTCTTGTGATGAAAAACAGACACGTTTAGAGCTGGTTCTTTTTTGATTCAGACTCATTTGCACACTCAGCAGATAATTGCTGACACAAAGGGATTCGTCCTGACTAACAGTTCAGCTCACTTCCTTGAATCCTTGCATGTCGTCTACGATCACTTCCTCGTCACTCCCCCGCTGTCTCCTCCTCCTCATCCTCCAGGCGAACCCCACAATCAGCATGGAGACCACAAGCATGGCTGCCCCGGCAGATGCTGCCACAGCTGTGACCACTGTGGGGTTACCAGCAGCTCCATGTGGCGCTGATTCCTCTGCTGCCTTCATCTGACTGCGAGCAGCAGACTGAGGCTTCAACAGGTCAGATATATCTGAGAACAGACAGACAGACAGCCATCGTGACGTTTCAGAGACAGGATGATTTTAAATAGACACCGATGAGCCAAAACACTGATCACTCACAGAAGACGTGAATCATTATCTCACATGTGATTTTTGGCATATAATAGATGTTTTTTAAAGCTATTTTATATTTGCCTTTATTGTATTGGACAGTTGAGAGAGAGACAGGAATGTGGGGGAGACGAAGTTGCAGCAAAGGGCAATGAGCGAGATTCGAACTCATGGCCGCTGCATCGGGGACTATAGCTCCTGTACATGGGACGTCAGCTCCACCAGATGAGCTGTAACGGTGGCCCGGGATATAGTAGCTGTTAAGGGGAGACACTACAGACTAGCTGCAGTGCTGAGCTACCAACAGTGGTCAGAGGAGGGACAGATCATCAACTGGTGGCAGGGTTTTGGTGAACAAGTCCGATCTATTAAACCTCCATCTCCCAACATTCAAAACTTAAAGTATCTGCTGCTAACGCCTTGGTGAGCAGTTTCATCAACATGCAAAGGACTAACAGCCTATCAAGGAAGGGGTGATCTTTTTGTTCTGGCTCAGCAGTGTCAGCATGTGTAACATCTTCTAAACATCTAGTGTCTCAGAGACTCCACACCTTCCAGACTGAGGAGGAAGAAGGCATCGTCTCCTTTGATGAAGTTCCTGCTCTTCAGCCTGTCGTGGGTGATGAAGGCACTTGTTCCGTAGCCTGCACCTCGATAGTAGTAGCTGCCGTCAGACTCCGTCACTTTCGAGCCCACCTTCTGGGGATTGTCCCAGTAGTACTCGGTGCCTGAGAAACACAGGTGAACACAGCAACTCACTGAAGATCCAGTCGATGTGTGACAACAGAATGACTTCAGGAAGCTGTGGACGGTCAAGATTTGAACACTGCAACCTCTTCCCGTGTTTCTTACCATCAGAGGACATCTTGTTGGGATCAGTGGTGACCATCCGGTGCATACTCATGTGCTGCCTGATGTCAGACTGTTGATCCATCAGGGCCATGGTTGCCTGATGCCAGGGACATGGCCATTTGAGGTTGTGGTCATTGGGGCCTGAGGTTAGGTGGAAGTAGGTGGCCATCTTGCCTGGACTATCGCTGCGTCCATTTAGGTACACGCCGACCTGAACAAGTAGAACCATTGCCAGTACTTTTTTATTTTGCTTTGGATTATTTACAAAATTGTCGCAGCAGGGCTCAAATCTGTGAGAATCTTGTGGTTAGCTAATACACTGCTTCCCAAACAGCAATTCTGCAATCATGGATTAGTAAACATACAACAGGTAGGTCAGACGTAAAATTCTTCCACACGACAAAGCGGAGGGGTTGAGGTGCCTTTGTTTAGCCTTGGGGGTGAGATCCACAAATGACAATGCAATGTTCTGCTGGGAAACCTTGGGTCTTGGCATTCATGTGGATGTTACTTTGACGTGTACCACAGACCCAACACACCTCCCCATGGTGCTGGCCCTCCTCAACAGCCTCCCACAGCAGGACAGCGACCCCTACCACACACCAAAACCTACAGCTCAAGGATCCTGATTAAAACCTCAAGGTGTTGACCAGACCTCCAAACTTCCCGGATCCCAATCTGATGGAGGTTCACTCCGAAACCCACAGCACCCCGAGGATCCACTGCCAATGTTTGAGACGCACAGACACCAGAGGACAACCCCAGAGTGTCCTTAGCCTGATGGGTCAGAGCTGGTTTAGGGGCACACGAGAGACCTACACAATTTTAGACAAGTGGGTTTTAATGCAGGGACTGATTGGAGTATCCCAGCTATACAGTCATACCTCGCTGACGTCTGGTTGTATTAAGAGATAATCCTGCTGCTGAAGATCCTTTGCTCAACATTCACACAATTAATTTAAGTTGTGTGATTTTGGTTTTGTATGTTGTTGACCACGACCTTGATATTTGAACGTCCTTTTTTTTTTAACCTATCTAGAATGAAAGAATGAAGCTTTAAAAAAAAGCTGTTCACCTGGAAGGAGTAACCCGTTGGAGACAGGAAGCGAGGACTGTACAGTTTGCTTCCTGCTGGTGTGGTGGCCATCAGGTTGTTGATGTTGCGGATGCGCCAGATGTGCTGAGGGCACTGTGTGGACGACAGGTTGATGTCATCCAGAGATAGACCTCCTGTCGACGGACCGTTTCCTCTAACCGCCTCAAAAACCACTCGGGCCTTCTGGGTCACATCCAGGTTTACGTTATGCAGCTCCCAGGAGTCCATGACGCCTCCTGTGAAGAAAGCACAGAGACCAGTGATAACACGGTACCCAATCATTTATTTACATGTTTAAATCGGGCACCAGCTTTAGATCATCTGTGTGTAGACTTTCCAAACTCAGTGTAACCCTGTCGGATTCTGCTGGTGTTTGTTTGTTGAAAATGAAATTCACTGATACGACCACTAGGTGTCCCCAAAGCCAGAAACTTACGGCGTCTTGAATTGTAACTATTCATTACGACACATTGTGTAATATTTTGTTCGTTACCTGAGATGCTCTTGAAGAGCTTCAGTTTACCGCTGGGGTTGGAACCGTCATACTCCCGAACCCAGATGTTGAGGACATCGTCGGCTGAGCCAGAGTTATAGAGGAAGAACTGCAGACACTGAGCTCCAGGTTTGGGGTAAAGCCAGCGACTCTCCAGGAGAGCTCGCTCACCGGGCGGAGCAGAGGCCGTGCTGAAGTGCATGAAGAAGCCTTTCCCTGGAAGAAAACAACCAAACAGCCGGTGAGATTAGGCCTCAGCAGTCTGTCATGTTACAGCTGACTGCTAACGGGACGTTCAGCTTCGTATGAGCACCTGTAACGGTTGAATAATTGGTCAATAACTATATTTAAGAAATTCAAACTACAGGGTTTTATTGCTGCACTTGGGGAGCTTCCATCTAAATATAAAACAAATCTTTTAAGAAAATCTGCAAAAGAAAATGTAAATGTCTGTTTTCATCTCAGCATTATAGAAATATGGTATTTCTGTACATCTCATTAACTGTTTCAGTAAAACGTACGGACAGAGCCGCTTATTTTTAATGTTTTTTTTTTTTCTCACTATCTTCTGCAATGTAGAAGAAAACTGAAGACACCAAAACGACTCAATAACGCTCTCAGAGGATCAGACTGACAGCGTGAGTGTCTTCTTTTAAAACTTTCCTGGAAACTTTCTTTTGATCAGAAGACCTTCTCTTAACTGAGGTTATTTTATTTTATTCTTTTATATTTTACTTTGTTCTTTATGTATTTACTATGTCAGTTTGCTTGTTGGTTATTTTATGTTGTTCTTTGTATATTTGGTGTTTTGTCTGCTTGGTTTTATCGCCTGTGTTTTATCATCTGTTTTGTGTAGCATCCTGGGACTTGTTATAATAAAAGAGAACATATATTATTATCCTAGTAGGAGTTCCTGTAGTAGCAGTGGTCTTATGGGATGCTAACGACAGAACTTTGGTGTAATTGTTTCCATGGAGTTTGCATTTCTGTCACCAGCACAGTAACCAAAACAAACATGTTTCTGCTTTTTAGGGAATCAGTGAAAAAACACTTCCTCCTCCATCATTGTGATATAAATGGCCGACAGTTTGTTTCAGCAGTTGAGTTATTTTCCAGCTGACACACAGTAACTCCTTTCCATCATCAATAAATCACTCGTTGACCTTCAAACATCCAGCCTGTACTTTGTCCATGATGCTGTTGTAAATCATCTCAGCTGCTTTACAGGTGCACAACAACAACAACAACAACATGATGAGGTGAAGATAACAGACCACATGTTGTTTTTCTCTTCAGCACTAGTACCTACTTTACATTCCTCCTCACTTTTCAATCCATGATGCAGGTTTTTGTGAATGTACTGGATATTTTTGTGGTGTGATTTATTTATTTATTTATTTTTTGGAAACTTTCAGGCTTATAATAAAACTCCAGGAATCTGCAGCTCAGATCTCAGCAGCACCACACGTATCTGTGATCACCTTCACATTGTCCCATGTTGGTGAAGTCGGACTGAGGCCCTCCGGTCACAGAGCTCCGCTGCTCCCACTTTGCATTGCTGGGACCCTGAACCATCCCGCAGATGTTCTCCTCCTCGAAGTTACAGCTGTCCACGAAGGTTGAAGACGTGGCTGTGGAGAGGAAACAGTCCGTTAGAGTGAGAAAGCTTCAGTACAGTAGGCCAGGGACAATCTGTTCAATGATTTTTCAAGTGCAAAGTAGTCCTGGTTAAGGTGGACTGAAAGAGCTTCGTGCAGCAAATGAAATCAGGCGTCCATCAGAAAATCTAGTCAGTGTTTGTAAGGCCAACTCCAGGACGACTGAGGCCGTGGGGTTGTCTCATCTGTCTTTTAGTGGGTTTCAGTGAGAAGAGGGTTTTATCCCAACCAGACTTTTAAACCAATTCAAAGGTCAAGCAGGTGCATCAGCCTCATCGTATCAACAATCACTGATTATCTGATGAAAACATGTTATGTAAACGTTTATGACTGCAACACCTTTTATCAGCTGTGTTGTCACACTTCCAGCTTTTATTTGAGCTGCAGTCCGGTTGATACCAGGAACAAAGTGCTGATATCATACAGGATTGTGCAGCTTGATAACTTGAACACTGCAGACAAACAGCACAAGTGTGACCCGCAAGTACTGTGTGTCTACCTCATAAGCCTGAAAATAAACCTTTAATAAGATGCTTCAAATGCTGGTTTAGCTTGATAAATGTTAATCTGCTTATTAGAGATGGGTTTAGGTGTCTGCTTGTGCTTCACACACAATAACTGGTGCATGAAAAATAAATAATTACCTGAGCATTTGTGTCACCTCCAGTTATTTACAGCTTCCTCGGGCTCATTACTGAGGGCTGATTATAGATTATTGATGTACACTAGCATCAGCCTTTGCCAGATAGACTCTAACCCTGTCTTGCAGGCATCATTGTTTTTTATGATGTGATTTGGTTTATTGATTGTTCAAACACCTAAAGGACTCTTCCCTGCAGGTTTATTTAATCCATGTACTGCAGATCACACGTAATGTCTGGTGGCTTGTAAAGGACGTCGATATTTCAGTTTCTTTCCCGTGTTCATGCATTCACCTCAAGATCCACGATTCTCATGCAAGTTTTTCTCTCTACAAACTTTCAGCGAGATGTAAAAGTGGAGGATGGCAGAGCTAGTGGAGCCAACGATGCCTTCTCTCCTGACCTAGAGATCAGAAAATGAGATTTTATCATTTCATTTGTACTTCAGTGTCTGTTTTCATGTGTGTAGATTTTGTTGAGTGTCAAACAATTCATTTTCTGCACTTTATTGACTTTTTTTCCAGTTTTGTTTTTTGCTTTTCATTTTTCTGTTTTTTTGGGATCCTGCAGAACAAAACAGGCAAGAATTGGCAACTTTTCTGACCCCACTGAGAGAGAGAGAGAGAGAGGGCGGTTTGGTGAGAAAGACCAGAAGACGGGGAGATGAAACATAAGACTACATCTTGGACGACATCCTCGCTCAGATCTGGAACAGGGTGTTGTGCCAAATACTGATCACCACTCAGTCTGTGTACATCCACAGCTGCTTGTATGTGGATCAAACAGCCACAACATGCAAATGCACACAACAGCAGAAGGTTTGTCTTTGTGAAACTTTTCTTGTAACTGAATAACTGCGACCACAGAATCTTTATACTTTGGCCTGATGTTTAGACTCTACTAGAGATGCAATGAGTCCATCAGTTTGCTAACTGTTAAATTTATCAACAACTTTTTTGATCATTGATTAATTGGTTTGAGTAATTTTCTTGAGAAAAAATTCTCAGATTCCAGCTTTAAAAAAATGTAAAGTTCTATTGTTTCTTTCACTCTTCATGACAGGAAGCTGAATGTTTTTGGAGATGTAGGAGGACGTGATCTTTGAACTTGCTTCACTATTTTCTGAGATTTTACAAAGATTTTGACAAAGGGCTAACAAATTGATCCATAAAATAATTAACAGGTTGATCGACAATGAAAATAATGATGCATGACCAACATTTCATCCACCCTGTAGGGGCTACAGTCACTGTTTGGCAGGTGGAAAATGTCATCAAATGAGTTGAACTGGTCCTTTAAAGTTATTTCAACTGGTAAAAAAAAGACTGAATTGGTTCATGTAGAACACAGAGGACACATGAGGATAGCTGCTTGTGTGGACTAACATCAGTTTTCGGCACAGCGCGTGTTTAGAGCCTACAGACAGTTGGACCGCCGGTTCCGGTGACGCGGCCTTCTGCGCCTTCAGCCGCGGAACTCCGACCGCCTTCACCCGGATATAAAACGGAACGGACAGTAACGCACATCACGGCTGGTGTTTGGAGGAAAAAGTCCTTCTGATTCCCAGACTCTCCTTCAGCAGAAACATCTGTGCTGCAGCGCGTGTGAACTTTACGCACCGGCATCTACCGGCGCCGTGGAGTTACGGTTTCAGCCGTTTAACGCATTAAAACGAGAAGTCGGACTGAGCAGGTGGACTGTCGGCACCGGCCTCCATGGGAACCGATAAGGAGCTTTTCACTGCAAACATGTCGTATTTATAAAGAAACAAAGGAGGATGGAGTTCATCTTTAAATGATGGACAGCTCCGGTGAGTCTGATGGGTTTTTATGGATCTTTATTGGCCCAGTCCATCAGGAGCTTCTGGGTTTGAGTAGTTCTGTCTGTCCCCACAGTTTAAGCTTCATATATCTGTAGGAGAATTACAAAGATCATTACTGACTGAGACTGATTGTCCACATTTTGGGTTCTTTGGGTTCTTGCTGCTGCTGAGGCTCAGATTCAGTGGTCTTGGCTGGAGACTCTGTTCTGACCTGTTCAGTCCTGATTGTGTTATTTTTTTTTGCTGCCTTGGTGGTTCTGTGAGTGGATGTGGTTGGTTTTCTGGAGTTTGGTCTAACATTGATCTGCCAGCTTGTGGTGCAGCATCCTGTCGTCCTGTAGTTGTGCTTCATCTCTGATGGTCACCAGGTATTCAGGTCTCTACCAGTAGTGTATATATACACTTACTATAGTAACTCCTGTTGGTGTTGAAGCTCATGTTGATAAAAGTTGCTGTCATTGTGAATATCTGGTGGGTACACATGGGGCTGAACGATATGCAAGAAAAAATATTGAGATTATTTTGACAGGAGTTGTGATGTGAGATGATTTGTAGGCCAAGACATCTTAAACAAAAAAAAATGCATCCCCTGTGAGCTAGATGTTGCCAGATTGCTGTATGGATGACATGTACGTTGATTAAATGCTCAGCCTTGTTGTTTGAATGTCAGTAACATCCAGCCCTGTTGTCATGGTGAGGCCTCAGTGTCACATACATGTCAATGATGCTCATGTGGTCCAGACTTTCTTTAAGTCTGTCCATCGTTTGTTTCACGTTTTCTTGTTAACATTTATTTGATGATGTTGCACCACGTGGTGCCACCTGAAATCATTTCCATTGGATCATGTGCTCGTTGCAGTGTTTCTGTTGCAGCAGTCTCCCTGTACATTCTGTGCCCCTGTTGTCTGATTTTTTTCCCCTAATTTCTTGTGTTTCGTCTCCTTGCACATGTTTTATTTTATTTTTTTTAAATATATACAGAATATTGCAGTGCATTGAGCTCTGAGGGCCACCCTGATTAACTCACTTAAAGAGCCCATATTATGCACATTTAAAGGATTTTGCATTTATATTTGGGCTCTGCTTGCATATTTAGATGCTTTAATTTTCAAAAACCATAATTGGTTTTCTCCCACTGCGCATTGCTGGACCTCCTCTTCTTTCCCTCTGAAACACTCTGTTTCAGCTCCTGTCTCTTTCAGGCCTCCCTCCTGAAAAGCCCATCCTGCTCTAGCTAATCAGCTGGCCCCACGAAAATGTCAAAATGCTGAATACATACCGTAACTTCAGATCTCTGAGTACAGGGCTGCAGCTCTGGCACAAGCGAGGAAAAAATAGTGGACGGTGAGGCCGCTGCACTCAGCTTGTTTGAGGATGTGTTAAAGTAGCCGCTAATTAGGCGATATGCTAATGAGTTACATGATGATGTAGACGTGTAACGGCAGAAACTAAACACATCAAAATGAAGTCATCCTTCAAAAATGTGAGTTTTAACCTTAATGAAACAATTTGATGTTTATTCCAGACAACATATTATTTCAGTGTGTTTCATATGTTTTTTAAGTTGGTCGTTAGCGAAGTATTTGTTTTGCTAAGTATTATTTTTACACCTAATGCATCACGAGACAATTTTGGCAGGTTTTCACCACAGCTGCTGTCGTCCACTGTGACTGTGCCACTATGATTGCTCCCCTCGTCACCTCTGACAAACCAGTTCATGTCAAATGCATCTCTACTGGTGAACCAGGGCAGGAATGTTGCCACAGAAACTAAAATTAACCCGTAGTTATTGTGTGTAATACAGAGAGCTTTACCACTGACAGGCTCAACCAGCATTGGGTGAACTTGTTTTGCTTGAATGTAACAGAAGTTCATTCATCAGTCCCCAGAAAAAGTCCACCAACACCTAAGTTGATGAACTCTACAGGTACATACGTGCTGTCGCTCAGGGCTTCCCTCTTTACCCCACAATACTTCAAACATTGTGGTTTGTTCAGTTATGACTCACTGCAGTTGTAGAGGCGGTTGAGCTTGGTGAGGTCACTCGCACTGAAGCCCATCCTCTGACCAATCACATCCATGAACTGGGGGAGCTTGGTGACGATGGTTGGCTCGGAAGCGATGTTGAAGGACGTTTTGCTGTAGTGCATCACGGAACCGTAGTCGTAGGGAACGCCCAGGGCGCTGGACTCGCTGTCGTCGCGGGTTTTGAAGTTGTGTTCTTTACCTGAGGAAAACACGGAAAGGAAGGATTCAGCCTTTTGTTTTTACAAGAATGGAACCGCGTTGAAAGCCGCTGAGTAAACCCAGATACTGGCTTTGTGGACATGCTCGCACCAGGTTCAATCTGATCCCACACGATGTCGACGTAGTCATCTCGGTCAGCTCTGGACTGCTCGTGCCAGAAGCCCAGAGCGTGCAGGAACTCGTGCTCGACGGTTCCCAGACGGTCACAGTTGTTGCCAATGGACAGTTGCTGCTTCCCTTCGTGCTGGTTGCCTACAGAGGAGTAGCATCTACAGCAGGGGAACGGGAGACACTCAGAGGTTAAACGGTTGGGATACTCACCTGCAGCTCCAACTCAGCACCTGCCAGCGCGTCAGAGTGTTGACAGCACCGGGCGTTTGTAGAAAAAGTTAAAATCTGTGACCTCGTGTTCTTCACGACACAAGTTGTGGACGTTTTATTTTCCTGTGTCACATGTGTAATGTGCTGTAAAGCGTTATACAACATTATTTTCTATACGGACTCGGTGGAGCCGGGTGATAATTCCCTGTTGGGTTGTCACTACGTGGTGACACCTTTCAGCTTACACAAAGTCATTTGATCTGCTGTTGATGTAAAAATATCTGCACACATTCGCTGTGCAACCATTGAGCCTGGAATGCTTGATGAATAAAACAGTAGCTGCGCTTCCTTATAACAGTCGAATCAATTAAAAAAAAAAAGAAAAAGGGAATCAGACTTGTTTCCATGAACAGGTTTGGAGTGAAAAAACTAGATCAGTGTTTTTCTGTCAGTGAATCTCTTGACGATTTTATAGATCTGTTGATTCATCTACAAAAACATTTAATTGAATCCTCTTATTTTGACAAACTGTGTGTTGTTGTATATTTGCAGCACAGTGGAAAACTTAAAGAAAGGTTTACATATAAAACAGCAAAACTGTCGAGTCCAACTGGAAACTTCAACATAATAAAAATAGATCAAAAAGATTTAGGTAAGAACTGCAAACCCCCAAAAGATCCAAGTTTCAGATGGAGTCATTGACTGAAGCCGTAACACTGAGTGCAGCTGACCAGTGACTCGAGCGGATTGATGCCACGTTGCGATACAGCAGAAAAATATTTGTTCCAATGAGTTGAAGCCTTTAAGAAAAACGCCATGTGTCAGCTTAGAATGGTGACATCACCGATTATGCAGACGAATCGTTGCAGCCTTAGAATAAACTCGTCACAAGACACAAAAGAGTCAAAAACTACCTTCAGTGAACATCTGTCCTGGACTCACCCGCTGCCTTTGAACACAGAGATGTAGTTCTTCTCGCCGCTCCACGGTGTGAAGTCGATGCAGGTCTTCAGCCTGTACTGGTCGAACGCCTTCAGGATCACTCCCTTTGCGTTCATATCTACACGCCACCGAGTGCAGGACGAAGAAACGTTTAGAAAAGCGTCTTGATTTGGTTCATGATGAGTGCTGTTTTCATCACGCCTTACCCAGACTCTCCTCCAGGTAGTAGGGGATGGTTGTCGGCCAGCGGTACGCGTCCGATAATATGGAGTTTCTGCCGAGTGTCTGATGGAAATGAGGAACACAGCGACGTTTTAGAATGACCTATCACAGCGACAGGTTGATTCCTGTAGTGCTCATACAGTCAGCTGTTCTCTGTACGAGACAGACGTGTCACAGCTGATCAACTAGTTTGTCTTTGTATAAAATTGATTGCAGAAAAAATCAAGTTAATTGAACATTAAATCTTTTACATTCACATTTTTTTGATACTTGAGGCTACTTGTAAAAAAAAAAAAAAATCAATACAGTTTGATGGAAAATTTATCAAAGTTTTGTCACAGTAGCATAAATTTTATTGGATTTTGAGAAAACTGGAATAGTTAGGAGTCGACTTGTTGAGACAAACAGTCAGTGGCATGAACTCTCTCAGGCTGCTGCAGACGAGCAGCAGATGGTTTAATTCAAGTAGCATCAGTCAAAACTCTGTGACTCCCCCGAGGTTCTCCTGCGCCTGCTCTCTCTGTGGATGTCTCTGGATCTGGAGCTCCTGAACTACAGCCGCTGGCCTCACCTTCTGCATCCTGCTGCCCCACCATGATGCCTCCTGTTACCTCCACCAACTATGACATGGAATATTTCATTGGTCCATTTGAAATGGAGGAACAAAAGGACAATAACTTCTAATAACTTGTTTAACTGGACACTACATTGTATAATTCATCCTACATCCACCCAACCGGTGGAGGCAGATGGCCGTCCCTCCCTGAGCCTGGTTCTGTCGGAGGTTTTTTTTCGGTTTTCGGTTCCTTCCCACTGTTGCAGACTGCTGAAGCTTATAGGGAATCCAGATGTTTTGGATTGTTGGGTGTTTCTGCCTTGTTAAGCGCTATGAGATGACTTGTTGTTGTAAATATGCGCCATACAAATAAAATTGAATTGAAAAAAAATTGAATTGAAAACCTCGGACAACGTAGAAAACATGATGATACGTGACGTTAGTTTTACTTTGTGGTGCTTGTTTACTAAAATTAGGTGTGAAAAAGATGTTTGCACAAGAGCACAACAGGAACAACCAAATTCCTGATGGAGGTAGTTTTCTTTTCATGCATATCGAATGTAATTGAACTATAATGTCATATAAAATGTATTATCTCACTTCTAAACAATCCTTCACACACACAATCACAAACATAACTGGAGTACAGTCCTGGCTGAGTCCAGTATTAACAGCAGAGTCACATGAACTCACTTCATCCTGAACGATGTCTCCTTCCAGCAGGTCCATTCCTGCCGCTGCAAAGAAACATTAAGCTCATTGATGGAAGTCCTCACATTTTACTGCAAAACCAAACAGAAACACCACGAGTCAGCAAACCTTCGTTGATGTTGAAGATGTCCCAGTCGTGGCCTTCGTCGACGTCAGTTTCTGCAGGAAGGAAACGATAATAATGAGATTACATCACCATGAACTGTGACAAGATAAAAGCTGCGTCAGAATCTGAGGTTGTATTAAATTAAAAATGAACTAAATTATATTTAAATGATCTTAAAACACTGCTGTGTTGTTGCAGCCACATTGATCAAACGTCAACCAGTGGCTGCACAGTTCTTACACTTCATAAACAATAATGACTGCAATGTTGAAATGCTTCACTTGTTGAAACCTCCACTGTTGCAGATAAAGTCGCGTGGTTTCAGGTTGGGTAAAGCTGCCATTAGAACACCTCATTTCATTCTTTACACTGTAATGCAGTCGCTGATTGGAGACCAGAGGTGTTTCTGAGCACAGACGTCCAGCCTGCATGTAAGACGTTTAGGGAACATCTGTACATTTTAGTGTCTGATAAGCACTTTTATTTAGATTCTGAAGGTTATTTTGAGTTTTACTTTGAGGGAAATGTTTGTGCAATTAATATGTTTTGTCCCTAAAGTCAAGAATTGTGACTTTAACATAGATTAAAATAACTCTGATGATCTTTTTGGACATAATCTGCCTCAAATTTCTCCTCGTGGGACAATAATATGCAGCCCGGTGTGATATAAAGAAGGTCTCGGGACACCTTAAAGCATCATAGGTTCAGTGCTGCTGTGTGTAGAGTAAAGCAGGGCCTTGGATGTCAAAACAGAGTCACCAGTCATCTGAAACGTCCTTCAACAATCATCAACAACGAACATCGTATTACTCGACTCACCTGTTTCACCTGTTAGCTTGGCTGCCGTCTGTGTGGAAATGAGAAAGCACAATAATCAGTTGGTTCAACAGACTGACGTCCTCCTCAGTAGAGAACACCACACTAAAGCATTTGCAGCAGCCACGGTTCTGATTTATCCACATGCACGGCGCTACACTCACCGACGCCAGACCCAGGAGCACAACGATCCACCTGAGCACCATGACTTCAGCTGCAGAGTCGACCGACTGCAGCTCTGCAGGTTGTCGCTTTGTTTTTGTCCAAGACGTTCATGCAACATTCGCATGATCACTTTTATGACTCGGGAGATTACACAGATGTCTAATTAATTATTAATTCAGTAGTCAGGATTAGCTTATCTAAGATTTGCTGCTACAAAGGACCAATGGTTGATGATTATTGAAGAAATCTGTAAAAACTAAACCCACAAACTGTGACTACAAGAAGAACAGACGGACAGTAAATGGAAAATTATGTAATTATGTTTATAAAAACCAAATAAAAATCTAAGTGGAAAAAAAAGAGTTGCTGCCACAGTTAAAATAATAAACTGTTGCAGGAGGTTAAAAAAGTTCATCTCACCTTGATCAGTGAACAGCACGTCATTAAAGATTTAAATCTGATTTATGGTACATGGATGTGACTTAAAGCACATCGTCAGGCGTTTTATAACATTTGTTAAATTACGCTATCTCTGCTATATTTAAATCAGCACAAAATACTGAGGAAAATGTATATTAATATTAAAAAATAATAAATGTAATTTTACAGATTTTCCTTGTTTTGCTAAATTACTGATAATATTCGTTAAGCTCGTCACAAATCTGTGGTTTAAAAAGCAATCTGTTCTGTCACATGAGTAAAATGGAGCTGGTTCACTTTATTTAAATCTGCTAAAAAATATATTATTTTACAGATATTTGCAGTTATTTTTACAGTTTTCAAATGTTATTTTTTTTAAACGTATTTTTCAGGAACGTTGCTGTCAGATTTTCAAGTCCTTTTTATGGGATTTAAACTTTTTTTTTTTTTTACAGTCTACAACTTCATATTTTAGAATCATTAAACCAAATGGCATGATGATAAATGGTCTCCAGAAGCTTTAGACATTGAATAAAAACAGATAATGAAACCTTTTTCTGTATATTTATGCAGATGTGAACAACGTGGTACCTTTAAGACTAGTACATGAGGAGTGTGCAGTTTGGTTGAATGCTGTGATCTTGATAGAAACCATATTTAACATTGGTGACATCAAAATGAAAGAGCTTGTAGTAACCAATACCAAATCATATCGATCAGTAATAACGGTCACGGTTGTTATCAAGAGGCACATTGTGTTTATTTGGCAGCACATTGATTCCTGTAACAAAACTTATTTGGAAAGAACATTTAAACCAATCAGAGCCAGCCATGGTTTAACTGTGACGAGCTAAAATAAAACCCAGTGCGAGAAAATGGGCTTCACTGGTTTTCCTGTCAGGAGGCCATTTCCTTTGTTTCTCTGCAATCATGTGCAGAATCTGGACGGACGCCACCAACATCTGCACCAGTCTAGCGGTAATGGATGTGGTGAGTGAGCTCACGCTGGTGTTAGACAGAAAAGAGGCATCCAGACGAGATGACGGGAAACCTTTCTGTTTATCACCTGTTTGCTTTTGCAGAATTTCATCGAACCAAAGACGGAATCATGTTCTCTGGTCCTTTCAGCCACGGAGCCCCTGACAACAAATTTAAAGAGGTTTCTTTAGCAGTGACCTACCGAATCAAACTCAGATGAATCACTCGCCAAAAACCTGTAAAACTAAGACGGCGAAGACAAGCTCTTGATGGCAGTTTGTGGGTGACAATGCACAACAGTTTGTGTGATTTACAGTGAAGGCAGTGACTCTGTGTTGTGTTTTTTGACAGGAAGTCTATGCAGTTTCCTTTTCGTAATGGCCACATGTAAAAACCAACATATGTACGAATAGGTGAGCAAAGCCCTGATTCACAAAACGGGTTAATTTAAAAAACAATTCTCAGTTGCTATCATTTTGGCACCGGTGGTTTTCCTTTGGCTCTGGCTGACATGTCTTTGTGCCAAAAATCCATTTATGCAGGAAAAGCCTGAAAACACTGTGATCACACTCTGCACTTACTGAAGTCATCTGGAAAAATTAAAGGGACACGAACAGAAAGTGGACGAACAGAAGTCTGCTTCAGTGAAACGACTCGAAGGCACAAAACTCCACTTGTGTCTGTTTTAAGGCATCAAGCCCTTAAGCCAAACCCCACTTGATCTTCACACAGATCAGAACAGAGATGATAAACACGGGGCTGAAAAGTCACTTTTTGGTGCCAAGCTGCAGTTTGAGAAGATGATGACCTGTCTTTAAAAGAACTGGTTGACATTTTGGCAATAAAACTAGTTGTGCCAGAGAGTGGAGCAGGTGGCTATCTGAGCACAGCATGTCACATTTGTGCAAATCTGATGAAATTACTGGCCAACAAAAACGACAATTTCAACGATTGTAACTGAGCTTTAAACACCAGCTGTGGTGACAAGCTGCACAACACATTGGGATCATCGTCAAATCTGAATTTTGACCCTTTGTAGAAAAACCCGCTTGTCTTTGTAGCTGCTTTGAGATTGTCAGTGTCTTTCAGCAGTCCAGCTGTCTCAGACAGAAAACACCTTCCAGTCTCGACCCGTAGACCCGCTGTAGTCGCCCCCTTGTCCATACATCAGGAGCTTCCATCGTCGCTCGTGGCCGTCCAGATCTTCACCTCTTGATGCGGCTCAGCCTCTCACACATGATGGACAGGTACTGTGTCAGCTTCACCATGGCGATGATGACGGTTCCTCCAATCAGAGTGCATGTTGGCCAGAACAGGGAGTGGAAGACGGCGACCCGGCCGTAGATCTGGGTGAGGATGGCGCTGTCCGATCTGTCTGTGGGGTCAGCGAAACACTGAATGGTGCGCTGAGACCGGAGACGATCAGAAATGTTCTGAATGATGGTGTGCGTCGCTGAGTAGTCCTTCCGGCACTTTGGGATGTAGAAGCACTGACAGGGAGGAAGGAAGAAAAGATGAAGGACAGGGAAAGTTGTGTTCGGTTTCTCTGGTGTCACACATTCAGGTTAAACCGACTGTTGTGGATTGTAGCAGCAGCTCAGAGGCATCTTGAATAAGTAAAAACACAACAGTAAGAAGAACAGTCCACTGAGAAAACTCCCAAACTTCCTGATGGCCAGTCCATGCCTTCATGGATATAATCCTGGTGGGGATGTTTTTTTTTTCATCCTCTGCATGCAGCTTGAATATAATACTGTATGTTGTAGGAAAATTCCACATATAATTGAACTGAGAACATTTGGGTCTGGAGAATTGCTCAAAACAGAAAGTAAAGGAAGATGAAACCACACCCACACCTAGCCACCATAGACCCTGACGAACCCCACTGTAGCGGGAGGAGCGCTAACGACTCGCATAACGAGGGGGAGGAGCA